TAAAATGGGTGACATTTGCTGCAAGACTTTGGAACCAAACTAATACTTGCACTCTGAAATGACTTTCAAAAAATAAATTCTCGATTTAGTATGTTCAACATGCTGAATCCCCCGTGATGGTCTACCGCCTCATCGTGGCGCGGAGGTGACTCTTGTCAAAGTGCGAAGTACAGCGGAGGTTTATCTTCCAGCAGGGTCTTTCAAGCTGAGAAGGAGTTCGACGTTTTCGGCTCCCCAGATGGCCAGCTAAGAGTAGGCCATACCAAAAGCACCATCATCTGGGTGATTCAGTTGCTGGGTGGCTCCTCGATCCACATAAGGTCAGCGATTACCTGTGGTGAAAACTTTGCAGGTCCTGGCAAGGCTCTGCTAATGTTTGGGGAAGTTTTTTCTCTATTGTCTGTACAACATGTAAGAGAAATAGAAATCCTGCACAATAAATCACATTTACTGCGTCGGATGTCTTCAAGACCAGTGTCAGGTTGCATAGGACACCATGGATTTCGAACGAAAAAGACCAAAAAGACACGTCAACGACTCGCCATGGAGATTGTCTCATGCCTGCACCTACACCGCCAGGATCTCCACTAGCGCCGATCTTCACGCCCTTCTCGAAGTTGCAGGGCCATCAACTACCACGTACGCCTTGCAGGAAACAAAGTCCAGAAAGACGGGCCTGAGGCAGCTGGGCGATGGCACACTCATTGTTCGTGGTAAGAAAGTTTTATCATGGGACGTTAGGGGCGTTGAATTTGTCGTACACCCATCTGGTCCATCTTGTCAATTCGCGTGAGATCCTATCACCTCGCCTGCCTATCCTTCGACTCCGTTCTGCATCAGAAAACCATCACTATCATCAACTGCTCTCTCCAACGTCAGCAGCTGATGACTCGGAACTTGATGCTTTTTATGAAAAATTGGAGAAAGTCATCCGCAAAGAAAACTTTGTCGTTGGTGACTTCAATGCGAAAATCGGGATGCCAGAAGAAGGAAAGCACAGGATCGGGAGATCGGATGAGGACTCCGGAGTGTGAATGGTAACCGTGTTGGACTCTTATCCACTGCACGACTTTTTCATGGCAACTCCATCTCCATGAAAAAGGAACATCGGCGATGGACATGAGAGTCATCTACGACTCATGCGAAAATCGACCACATTCTCACCAACCGAAGATGGTACTTAATAGATGTCTCGGTACCATCCTTCAGCAGTGGTTCAGATCACCGCCCCCTTCGAGCAAAAGTGCGATTCATCCGAAAGCTGGCAAACAAGATCTGTCCGTCGTGTTGGAGGAAGGAGAAAAGTCGTATTTGACGTCAGACTGAAGGAGCTCCTGATGATTGAAAGAGTACCCAACAAAGGACTACGTCCTGCTTCTCAGAGGGTTGAGGGCCTTTGGAGAAAGTGCCTCAATGCCTCGAACGAGGAACTTGGAACGAATATCGAAAGCCACCAAGGATCTGCTAGAGAGGAAGAAAGCACTGAGACTGGATCTAAATTGCATCACATCTCGAGCGACTGTTAGCCAATACCAGTTGCAGACAGCTGCAAGAAGATTTTTGAAAGTACGGGCAATCAAAACTCTTGGAAGCAGCACAAGGGAGGAGAAGTGTAAAGAAGTACCGCAGGGACCTTCTTGACTTTTGTGTTCCACTGACAACAACTAAACGAAGACGGGACTCGCACATCTTCCTGACAAAAGATGGAATCGATCATGAAGAGATTTTTCACTAATCTCTTCCGCTCTCAACAGCCGTGTCAAACCCCGTCCACTGGAAAAATACATCGCGGATTCTACCTGCTGAAGTACGCGCCGCATGACGCATGCCGTATCCAGACCATGAAAGCAGCCAAGGTTCCGGGACCGGACCATGTTTCGGCCGACCTCTTAAGAGCTGAAGTGCATCACCTTCACGAGGAACTTTGAAATCT